CCTGTGTCCCCTGCATCGGCAGGTGGACTCTCAACCACTGCGCCACTAGGGAAGCCCGGGAGCACTACTTTTTAATGTGACCACTGGGAAGTTTAAAATGGCATATGTAACTCCTGTTTGCGGTTCTTATTATATTCTGTTGGACAGCACTGGCTCTAGATCTCTTTTGATAAGTAATATCTTTTCTTAGATATGGGTCTTCCAAAGAGACATCAAGATATCACTATGTTAGTGCACATAAGACTAGAGCTGTAAAATTACCAAGGTGGCTAAGGACAAGACTTTTCCATGTAACTCTGCCCCGGCATAAACTGTACAGAGATTCGTCTAAGTGCGCTATGATTGCTCCCACTCCCTCACCATACTTTGCCCTTCATTCTGGCCATGCAGAGCAGCTTGACAAAATTGGGGGCCTCATGGAAATCTCAGCATACTTGTTGCTTGCTCTCAGCTGGATCGCTTCTGAAATGTTTCTTGAAAATGCAACTGCTTCAACAATAAGCTTCTTAATTATGTCGTGGGTTCACCACGAGGGTATACAAACAGACCCTCAGCAGTAGCTAATTTTCCTTTAATTGTATCTCATTCTCATGTTGGAATATCCCATTTCTTATTCATGAAAGCCTAACACGTGTTAATCCATTACAGGTGGAGTAACTAACACGGCACAATATCAGAACAGACTAATGGTATATGAACCTAACCAGGTAAGACTCATATAAGAAAAGCTCATTACCTTAATTAAAATGAATTTTTAAAGATTGCTACAGTAATTAGGAGTTGGAATGCAAAGTCTATACACACACATGCAACTTAAACTTACATAGAGAAAAGGAAGCATCTGGTTAAACTGCTTTTTAGTTGCCTTTTTTTTTCTCAAAAAACACAGAATTTCAGCTCTTGTCGTTTTATGCTATACTCAATGCTCAACTTTTTCAGAGTTTTGCATAATGTAGGAAGAAGGGAAAATATATTGATGAGTTAAATGCCCTTATTACCATGTATCTCAAGTGGCTGTTCATCATTGAGGCATCCTGAGAAAGGAATTGGATTGTCCTGTTGCCACATCCTTTTAGAAGGCCTGTCATTCTAGGAGGGGAACGTGCTTATGGTTTCCTTATTTCCAAATAAAGTGATAACTTTTATTTAACTCTATGTAGTCAACGTATCCCAGGACAGTGTGTAGGACAGATCTGAAGGAGAAGTATCTGAAGAGTTGGCGCATGTTTTTCATCTAAGAGCTGGGCCTGCACTGGGAGCATTTTGATGGTGGCTGTCCCTTCTATCCACTTTTCATGCACACTTAATGACTTTTCTTTCCCCAAAAGAAGAACTATTTTTATTCTCTTTTCCTTCTACCAAAGTATCTGTAACTGTGGCACATGTCTGCTGAATTTTGTCATTTCTATGATTTTGGTAATATAAGTATTTTTCATGATTTTGACAATATTCCAGAATGATTTGATTAGGAGGTTCATCTTCATCAGCTGAGGATAATGGAACACAAAACAACAGGTTGGCTTTGGCACTCTGGGTTGGGACTAGCCATCAATATATGTTCAGAGTGACCTCAGTCTATTTAGTATTTTTTAATTTTAACAATTACTTGGTTCTGAGTTTAGCGAAGGTATTTCTGTCTTTGCAAGTGTTTCCTGATATCATTAGAGGCTGTAGGTTTCAGAGACCACGTGTCCCTGGGCCGGATGTCCCAAGAGGGATCATTAATTGCAGTTGCTTAAGTTTGGTGCACACGTGGTTAAAGAGGAAGAAGGTGTTAACATTTCTCAGATGAGTTCTGTTTCATGTTTGTACACACATGCTCTTTTTAAAAATTCTGCTGGCATATTGTTTACGGTGGGTACTGGCAAACATCACATCTGCTTGCATCTTGCTCAGAATCTCAATAACTCTATCATTCAGCCCTGGTGCTTATTGCTCTTCTAGGCCTTTGTGGAGAGTCGATAATGCCTGCCATCTGCCACAGAGCACATCGCTACCTGCCAACAGGCAGGCTGGGGTGACCTCTGCTTCCCCAGCACTGATTAGTATTCACACGCTAGCTTATTAGGAATGACCCCACCAGGCCTCTCTGTTTCTTTGCCTTTGCAGCGGTTGGCGGCTCACCTGGCAGGCACGGCAGTGAAGGAAGCTAAAGATATAATCAGGGGATGCAGTCAGGCTTTGCAAACCAGATGGCATCCATAGTCCTGTGGCAGGGGACTGGACTGCTAGTGGAAACATTGATTCCTAATACTGTGATGGGTTGCCTCATTTTAGAAAGCACCTAAGGAAAGCATCATCAGTCTTGAGTTAAATCCACTCATGCATAATGTATTAGAGATATTTCTTAGGAGAATATCTGAAAGAAAGGTTTGACTGTTTTATTAAAGATACATTTAATTGGAAGGAGGTTCTTAATATGACATGTTTAAAAAGGGGGGAGCAGATAAATTCAAGCCTTAAAAAACTGGACAAACCACTTTCTTTTTCTCATGTTAGTGTATCTTTGAAAGAGAAATTACAAATGAGCCAGTCGATAAGCCAATAGTGAATGGACCAATATTTATACAAAACTTTCTTTTTGCTTCTTCCTTTACAGCTCTGTGAACTGAAATTCTATGTTTTCAAACCATCATATGATTTTTCTGGTCGAAATCCAAATTTTTCTCTGCAAAAAGAAATAATCTATGTTCTTCCTGTATGTTTAGTGTTTATGTAGAAAGAAAATGGTAAGGTTTACTTACCTGTCCATTACTTAGTTGAGATTTAAAATTAAAGTCATATTTGATTTTCATCTATTTTTACATTATATTTTAAATAGGATCCTTATTTGAGAGGAGTAGAGCATACCTTTCTCATTCCTGAGAGTGATATAGAACCAAATATTAGAGGTTTCACCATTCCCTAAAGTTACCATAGAACATTTGGTCTTCTAACAAAACAGATAACCGTGTGCCTGGAAATAACCTTTCCCAATCTGGTGAAGATGTGAGTGTAAATATATTAAAGGCTGTGAGGGGTTTGTTGCTGAATCACATCTTTTTTTTTTTTTTTTGCGGTACGTGGGCCTCTCACTGTTGTGGCCTCTCCTGCTGCGGAGCACAGGCTCCGGACGCGCAGGCTCAGCGGCCATGGCTCACGGGCCCAGCTGCTCTGCGGCATGTGGGATCCTCCCGGACCGGGGCACGAACCCGTGACCCCTGCATCGGCAGGCGGACTCCTAACCACTGCGCCACCAGGGAAGCCCCACAATAACTTTTTAAAAGTGCATATTATTGGACATATGTGCCAGGCATTGTTCTAAATGCTTTAGGTGTATTAGCTCATTTAATCTTCACAACAGGCTTGTCAGGTGGGCACTGTTATCTCTATTTTACAGATGAGGAAACAGGCACAGACAGGTTAAGTTAATTGCCAAGGTCACACACAGATGATAAACTCAGGCATTCTGGATCCAGAGCCTGTTTTGTTATCATTATACCACCATACACAGTATACCTAACCATGCACTTGTACTCTTAAGTCATTTGCAGGAGTAAGTTCTCTCAATTGGGAGAAATAACCAATCATGAAAACTTCTAAATTCCCATATGCTCCCCTTACAAATTCAAAATGCAACCCAAGGAAGAGGAAATGCCTTACGTAAGTTGCAAATAGAGTTAGAACATGGGGGCTCTTCTGCGCTTGTTCTCAGGCAAGAAGCCCATACCTTTCAAAGTATATAAACAACATTCAAATAGAATGTGATTGACCAACATTAGAGTCCCCACTACTAATGAGGCACTGCTGTTTTCTGCCCTGGAGGTCTCCATTTAACAGAATTCACCTGAGTTTCTTTTTTCTCTTTTTTTGTCTCAGAATAAGTGGATAAGCCGCAGCCCCATGCTGCAGAGGCGGGTCTACCATTCCATGGCTGCTGTTCAAAGGAAGCTTTATGTTCTTGGAGGCAATGACCTGGACTACAATAACGACCGGGTCCTTGTGCGGCATATAGATGCCTACAACATGGACGCTGACCAGTGGACGCGTTGTAATTTTAACCTGTTGACTGGCAAGTACCTTTTTTTTTTTTTTTTTCCCTCGGTACATGGGCCTCTCACTGTTGTGGCCTCTCCCGTTGTGGAGCACAGGCTCCGGACGCGCAGGCTCAGCGGCCATGGCTCACGGGCCCAACTGCTCCGCGGCATGTGGGATCTTCCCGGACCGGGGCACGAACCCGTGTCCCCTGCATCGGCAGGCGGACTCTCAACCACTGCGCCACCAGGGAAGCCCTGGCAAGTACCTTTGTTTGAGTAAATCAGGAAAAGGAGAGATTCAGGAAGTTGCCATACTTGTTTTCTTAGATATCTGTAGTGCAGCTGTAAATATTAAGTACATGGTGGTAGAACAACTTGCTTTTATTACCCAGAAGGGTGTGCATTGTTCATCTCACAAAATCGGACTCAATCAGGTGGCTGAACATCTGGTTTCTCAGGGCCTGTGTTACCTTTGTGTGTGTTTTCACGTTGCCAAGAGAGACGTGTCAGGTCCATTATTGTCTATCAGTATTCATGTAGGAACATTGGTATAAGGAGGAGGAACCAGGCGCTGAAAGAGGTAATGACTCTTTACAGGAGCAATTTACTTTTTACTTCTCACTACTTTTAGTCCTCTTATTTCTTGTGAGTGCAGGAGAATGGTCTTCATTGTTTGTCAGTGTCAAATACCGTTTCTGCCTGTATTCTCCTAAAGACAAAACCTTAGAGATGTTCCGTGCATGGGGGTTTGGCAGCACTTCTGGCCACACAGACCCACCCAAGCATTACCACGGGGTAGCACTAGGTAGGGACCATACTCATCCCACAGGGGAATAAAATGAAAGCAGTGAACAGCTTACCCCTGACTTTTTTTTATGAAGTTGAAAACTTGTCCTCCCTTTTCGGCCTACGTGATTAAGATCCCTTCTAGGCTGCTCTAATAGGAAAATCGCAAACTCGAACGGGTGGGCTGGACTATTGCCTCAAGACATTTTAATGTGCTGAGTGGGCACTCAATCACTCACAGCTGCTGCTACGGAGGCCGCAGTGGGGGCATAACCAGTGTGAGAGGTTTAGATGCTTTGTATTGAGCTCCTGTTTTTGCGAAAATGATCTTTGAGGCCCACCTACAAGCACTTAACTCTAAGTTGCTGTAGTGGTACCTTAGCCCCTTGGTCCCTCGATCTGTGATTCTGTCTGCTATAGGATCCAGCTTATTTATTACCCGAGTCAATCCTGTGTCAGCCCATCAATAAAAAGAGACTATCTCACTCTCTGATGGCCTCCAGGGAAGAATATGTAGTAGTGAGTTATTCTGTCTTCTTTTTTAAGTGGGGGAGGAACCTTTCATCATTTTGGCGTGTCAGTATCTAGGGACTACCCAGGCTGGTCCCAGCTCAGGAACTTTAATATAGTCTTAAAACTGTTGTGTATGTAAAGAAAAGAAGGGTAGTAACTTTATCAATCTTTTCTGTCATTTGTCTTCATTTGGGGCACACTAGGGGCGTGGCTCTGTTTTATTGGCTTCTTGCGGTTGCAGCCGTTACAAATGTAAGCACTTGCTTAAAAGCATTTGTAGTACAACAGGTGTTTTGCATTCCTAAAATATACCATATAAACTAATGGCATACAACATAGTATAAAACTTAGTTCTATGTGGATTATTGCTGTATTTAATGCTGTATTTACTAACTTGGCTGGCTATTAAGTGTTATGGCCAGATTCTGACCCAACACAGAGTCATTCTCTGAGAGGTTAATTCTTCCCTCTGAGAACTGGGAGACAGTGATTAGTTGAGGCAGAAATCCTGTGGAATATACAAGTGTGCCACAGAGGGAAATCGTATCCCTCAGTGGCAAAAGGGTTAATGAAGACATGCAAGGAAATGGATTTATTTTTCCTCTTTTATTCACTTCTCTTTACTTTAGGCCAAAATGAATCTGGAGTTGCTGTCCATAATGAGAGAATATATTTAGTGGGTGGATATTCGATTTGGACGAACGAGCCTCTGGCTTGCATCCAGGTGAGTGGTTTAAGTTCCTTTTGGAGTTTGTTCAAGTGGTTCAGTGAGGTTATTTGTGCAATGCTGCTATTGCAGGGAGAGATGTTTACAGGTAGGAAGAAGATTGAGCTTCCTTTGTGCAGCTAGTTCAGCCACTAAACTTCATCCTGCATCCTAAAGATGCTAACTAATAAATGATGGAGCCCTGTTGAAAATAAAGATGGCAATGAGCTTTGAAAACATATGTTATACTGGAAATGGGGAAAGTGGAATGCTTTTTCCTTTCTTTTAAACCAAAACATCTAGAAATCTTGGTAATAGTACTTTCACATCTGCAAAACTTTACAAATGTCTCCTTTCTATACCATTTTCTTATTTTCTGTATTACAATTCATTCAACGAATGCCACCTATGAAGGTGGTGTTCTTTCCTGGTAGAAGTGAGTAGTAGTAGTTTTCGATTGGAAGCTTGTATTGCTTCCCTCTTAGAACTGTTTTTACTGTGTTCCATAGGTGTTTTTAATTTATCATGTTTTCATTTTCATTTGTCTCCAGGTAATTTTTTAATTCCTCTTTGATTTCTTCAGTGATCCACTGGTTGTTGAGTAGCATGTAGGTTAGCCTCCATGGGTTGTGTCTTTTGCAGTTTTTTCTTACAGTTAATTTTTATTCTTGTAGAGTTGTAGTCATAAAAAGATGCTTGATATGATTCCACTATTCTTAAATTCACCAAGGCTTGTTTTGTGGTCTAGCATGTGATCTATCATGGAGAATGTTCCATGTGCGACTGAAAAGAATGTGTACTCTGTTGCTTTTGGATGGAATGTCCTATATGTAGCTATTAAGTCCATCTGGTTTGATGCTTCATTTAAGTCCAGTGTTTCTTTATTGATTTTCTGTCTGGGTGATCTGTTCACTGATGTAAGTGGCATGTTAAAATACCCTACTATTATTGTGTTACTGTCGTTATCTCCCTTTATGTCTGTTAATATTCACTTTATGTATTTAGGTGCTCCTATTTTGGGTGCATAGATATTTACAAGTGTTATATCTTCTACTTGGATTGACTTCTTGATCATTATGTAATGCCCTTCTGTGTGTCTTGTACCAGTCTTTGTTTAAACTCTATTTTGTCTGATATAAGTATTGCTACACTGGCTTTCTTTTGATTTCCATTTGTATGGAAAATCTTTTTCAAGCCCCTCACTTTCAGTGTATGTGTGTCTTTAGATATGAAGTGAGTCTCTTGTGGGCAGCATATATATAGGTCTTGTTTTTGTATCCATTCAGTCACTCTGTGTCTTTTGATTGAAGCATTTAGTGCATTTACATTTAAAGTAATTATCAATATGTATGTTCCTATTGCCATTTTGTTAATTTTGGGGGTGTTGTTTTTGTAGATCTTTCTTCCCCCTTCTTTTGTTCTCTTGTGATTTGATGACTATATTTAGTGTTATGTTTGGATTCCTTTCTCTTTTTCTCTATGTACCTATTGTAGATTTTTGATTACCATGAGGTTTATATATAGCAATCTGTGTATGTGTATATGTGTGTGTGTGTATAGTTTTAAAACATACATGTTGTTTTAAGTTGCTGATCTCTTAATTTCAAATGCATTTTAACAACCCTGCATTTGTATTCTCCTCATGATTACTGTTTTTGACATCATGTTTTATATCAAATTGTTTTGTGTATCCCTTAACTGCTTATTGTGGATATAAATGATTTTTACTACTTTTGTGTTTTAACTTTTCTACTGGCTTTCTGTGTGGATGATTTCCTACCTTAACCGTTTGTTTACATTTACTGATGAGCTTTTTCCATTCATAATTTTCATGTTTCTAGTTGTGGCCTTTTAAATGAAATAGAAAAGAGAAGCTCCTTTAACGTTTCTTGTAAAGCTGGTTTGGTGGTGCTGAACTCTGCTAGCTTTTGCTTGTTTGTAAAACTTTTGACCTCTCCGTTAATTCTGAAAGAGAGCCTTGCTGGGTGGAGTATTCTTGGTTGTAGGGTTTTCCCTTTCATCACTTTAAATATATTGTGCCAATCCCTTCTGGCCTGCAGAGCTTCTGTTAAAAAGTCAGCTTATAGCCTTATGACAGTTCCCTCGTGTACAACTTGTTGCTTTTCCCTTGCAGTTCTTAATATTCTTTAATTTTTGCCATTTTAATCAATGTATCTTGGTGTGTTCTTTTTTGGGTTAATCCTGTATGGGACTCTGTGCTTCCTGGATTTGGGTGACTGTTTCCTTTCCCAGATTAGGGAAGTTTTCAATTATTATGTCTTCAAATATTTTCTCAGCCCCTTTCTTTCTCTCTTCTCTTGGGACCCCTATAATGCGAATATTAGTGTGATCGATGGTGTCTCAGAGGTCTCTTAAATTGTCCTCATTTATTTTTATTCTTTTTTCTCTTCAGCATCAGTGATTTCCACTACTCTGTCTTGCAGCTCACTGATTCATTCCTCTGTATCATAGAGTCTGTTGATTCCTTCTAGTGTATTTTTCATTTCAGTTATTGTATTCTTCATCTCTGGTTGTTCTTTATAGTTTCTAACTCTGTTAAAAACTTCTGGGCCTCCCTGGTGGCGCAGTGGTTGAGAGTCTGCCTGCCGATGCAGGGCACGCGGGTTCGTGCCGCGGTCCGGGAGGATCCCACATGCCGCGGAGCGGCTGGGCCCGTGAGCCGTGGCTGCTGGGCCTGCGCGTCCGGAGCCTGTGCTCCGCAACGGGAGAGGCCACAACAGTGAGGGGCCTGCATACCGGAAAAAACAAAACAAAACAAAACAAAAAAACAAAAAAAAAAAACTTCTAACTTCTTGCTTTGTGCATTCATTCTTCTCCTAAGTTCTTTGATCATCTTTACAGTCACTACCCTGAACGCTTTCTCAGGTAGATTGCCTATCCATTTCACTTAATTCTTCTTCTGGGGTTTTATCTTGTTCCTTCATTTGGAGTATGTCCCTCTGTTGCCTTGTTTTGCCTAACTTGCATTTAAAATTTTTCTGTGTCTGGTAGGTTGGTTACAGTTCCCAGCCTTGGGTAAGTGACCTTTTGTAGGAGATGTCCTATGCATCTTGGCAGCACACACCCCTCTCATCACCAGAGCTACATGCTCTAGTGGTGCCCCTATATGGGCTGCATGGGTCCTTCTTTTGTGACAGGCTGACTGCTGTGGCTCACTGGAGGATGGAGTCAGGGTCCAGAAGACCTCAGGGCTGCTGCCTGCCCACTGGTGGATGAAGCCAGATCCTGGGCCTAATGCTGGCCTACTGGTGGGCAGAACTGAGTTCTGGGAACTGGTTGCAGGGCCCAGGGGTCCCAGAGCTATTGTCCAATCACTGGTGGCTGTGGCTAGTTCCTAACACCGTTGATTGCAGGGTCTGGGCTGTCCTGAAGCTTGTATTGGCCTGCTAATGGGCAAGGCCAGGGCCCAGCCAGTGTGAGGGCAGGGTCAGGCCTGCTGGTGGAATGGCCAGTTCCACAGGCTGCAGGGCTGTGGTTGTATTGTGGCTCATGTTCACCCCTTGGTGGTTAACAGTGGTCCTGAGACTAGAGAGGCTCACCAGAGGCTGTTGCAAGGGCCCAGGGATTTCTGGGGCTGCCCACTGTATCCCAGCATCTCTGGGTGGAGGGCCCTAGGGGCCCCATATCTAGTGTCTGTGTACTAGTTTGTAGGGCTGTGTCCTGAGCCCTCTGGTAGGCAGAGCCATGTCCGGGGAGCTCTGGGCTCAGGGAGTTTTAAGGCAGCCCTTCTGCTAATGGGTAGAGCTGTCTCTGCTCAGTTAGCTGCTTGGCCTGAGGCATCCCAGCACTGGTACCTAGTCTGTTGGGCCAGGGTAGGGCTGGGTCCTGAGGCTAAAAAGGTAGAGGGAGGATTAAAAAGTGGCGCTTGCCAGCACCAGTGTCCATGAGGTAGAATGAGCTCCCCAGAATGGCCGCCTCCAGTGTCTGTGTTCACAGGGTGAGCTGCGAGATCACTCCAAGATAAGCAGGTAGTTCTGACCAAGGCTTCTTTCAAATTACTGCTTCTGCTCTGGGACCAGGAGTGTAAGATTTCATGTGCACCCTTTAAGAGTGAAGTCTCTATGTCCTCCAGCCCTCTGGCACTCCTGAAAGTAGGCGCTGCTGGCCTTCAAAGCCAAATGCTCTGGGGGCTCATCTTCCCAGTGTGGGACCCCTGGGCTGGGAAATCCAACACGGGGCTCAGACCCCTCACTCCTTTGGAAGAACCTCTGCAATTGTAATTACTCTCACCACTGTGGGTTGCCCACCTGTGGGTATGGAACTTGACTAAATCACAACTCCGCCTCTCTTACCCATCTCGGTGTGGTACCTTCTTTATATCTTTAGTTGTAGAAAGTCTTTTCTGGTAGGTTCCAGACTTTTTCATCAATGGTTGTTCTGCAAATAGTTGTAATTTTTGGTGTGCCTGTGAGAGGAGGTGAGCTTAGGGTTTTCTACTGTACCATCTTGGCCAATCTCCAGAGGCAGTACACTCTTCGACATCAATCTTAGAAATATTATTTTTAATGTGTCTCTATTTCCTGGCTTCTGGAGTATCCAGGGTTGTTCCTCTGACTCTGATGTCTCCTCTTTCATTTCTAATTTATTTATTTCCTTCTTTGATTAGCAGTTTTATTATTATTATTTTTTATTGGGGTATAGTTGTTTTACAATATTGTTAGTTTCTACTGTACAGCGAGTAGAGTTCCCTGTGCCATACAGCAGGTTCCTATTAGTTATCTATTTTATACATAGTAGTGTATATATGTCAATCCCAATCTCCCAATTCATCCCACCACCACCCCCCGCTTTCCCCTCTTGGTGTCCATACATTTGTTCTCTACATCTGTCTCTATTTCTGCCTTGCAAACTGGTTCATCTGTGCCATTTTTCTAGATTCCACATATATACATTAATATACGATAGCTGTTTTTCTCTTTCTGACTTAACTTCTAATTTATTTGAGTCCTCTCTTTTTTCCTTGGTAAGTCTAGCTACAGGTTTACCTATTTTGTTTA